TTTTACCCCGGATACCAGGAAGAAGGCCCCCGGGCCGAGGGCACAGAACGGGGTAGAGGGGGGCGGAGAAAGGGGGGGCGTGGCCGAGGAGAGGGGGGGCGGTAGTGGGGAGCGGAGGAGGAAGAGGGGGAGGGATCCGGTCGAGGAGGAGGCGGTGGGGGTGGAGGGCGGGGACGAGGGGGGTGCGTTTGGGGAAATGGGGGATCGGGAGGGGCGGGTGGAGGAGGGTGGCTCGTGCAGAGGGGCAGAGCGCGGAGGCGAGAGGCGATACCCGAGGAGCAAGCGCGTGAGATCACGCAGCCAGAGGGAGGCCGGCCAGACCAGGGGTGGAGTCGTCTGAAGTGGCTTCATGCCACGTGTGAGTGGGCTATGTTCTTTGTGTGTGTAGTACACGTCTAGAAGTTGCTATGTCTACTGCTCTTCAGACACACGTCAGCCGCGGTACTCTACTCTCACTGAAAAGAGGCGCGGCCCTGCGCCGCCGCCGGCCGCGGCCAAAGTAGCGCATTCAAACGCGGCCTCCTCCGTCCTCGCTCCTGCACATGAGACATGTCGAATTGTAAAGGGTGTGGAGTACCGTGGATGCTGGGTTGACGCAAATTGAAGGACGCGACCCACCTCGCCACAGACGGTCCCGCGCCTCGCCGCCAAGACGGCTACACGACCGCGTCTTTGTCCGGAGTGAAAAGTCCAACGCGCTCGTCGGTGACGGTGTCCTTCAACCTGCGCCGCGCTCGGCGAACCTCGACAGCGCTTTCGGTGGCATGCAGCTCTTTGCGACAGAAGCCTGGAGAGCAGCTCCTCTGCTGCTCACACACTCTGCACAGTTGACACAGCCTACTGTGCGGCTGCCACAGCTGTGACAGCGATGGGCTCGCCCTCACTGGCCCTCAGTCACTTGTGCTGCGGCTTGTGTGAGCGACACTGCTCGGCGACTGCCGGCACACTGTGAGACCATGGGTGTGAGGTCAAACCACGCTACCAGCGCTTGGTCACATCGGCCCTGAGGTCAGATCCTTCTACTCTGTTGATGACAATACTTGTCTACTGGCTGGAGCCGAGCAGGAGGGCCCGGCGCACAACCCCCTGGCAGTCGGCCCGCCCTGGTCAACTCACCCTCCACACCCCGTACGTCCTTCGAGAAAGAACTAAGTTTGTAGTTCAAAATAGATGACCTTGATTTCCTTGTCCAGTTGTCCACGGGCCACGGCCTTTGATAATACGGCTTTTTGCACCGTAAGGGTCACCGTTTAGGATTGGCCCATTGACGCTTACGGCAGCACCACCACCTGAATCGCTCAGGGTCTCTCAGAATGTACGCTAGCTGGGGGGCCTCCCCGGGGTCCCGCGACCCGAGCCGGAGCCCGACAGTGCTGAGAGTCACACGCGGGAAGACTCAACGTCAACATGTCACCCCAACCCGCCCCCACCCCCGCACGGCGCGCAGACCGCCGCCTGCGCTTGCGGTGACGACGGGGCGAGGAGGCGGACTTGGCATCGGTGGCCGCACCCCGTCGGGCACTCCACCTCCGTCTCGAACCAGCTGCGCATGTGGGCCAAATGCCCTCCGTGGCCGCAGCCCTGGCACCAGACGTAGCTCCCCCGCACGGGCAGCTCGCACACGCCGCAGAGCGGCCTCCCCCGCTGCCGGCCGCCGAGCAGGACCGTGGTCGAACGGGCGGCCGCCTGCTGCAGCGACGTGTCGCCGCAATGCTTGACCACCTCGCATGCCGACGCGAAGTCTCCCTGCCGGCGCAGCTCCTCGAGGTAGCCCACCGTCCACCGCCGCCGCGAGGCGCGCGGCGCGAGCTTCTCGACGGCCGCGTCGGCCTGTCCACC